TTAGGGACTCACAACAGCCCTGATGCCCATTAACCTTGCGTTAGTGACTTCTCTGACCAGAAAGCTATTTAATGAGTTACCTGCCTCCTACATCTCTGTGTATCTTGCCTATTGGGAAGCTCAAATCAATTCATGAATTAATGGTTTGGTTTGGTTTGGTGTTTTGAGACAGAATTTCTTCTCTAGTCCTGGAACTCACTCTGTAGACCATGCTGGCCTTGAACTTAGAGATCCGCCCTAACTTTGATCTGCCTTTTCTGACTGCTACCTTTTGTCTCTGTCTCCCGTACCTTCCCTTCCCCTTCCGTTTGAAACATGTAAATCTTGTGAGAGTTTCCTAAGGGTGCAAAACCTGTGCGTAACTTGGTGGTGGTGGTGGTGGGGACTCCTAACTGAGAATTTGCATTTGGTATTGTCTCTTTGGGGAGCTTAGATTTATCTAAGGTGTTGGTTTACGGAAATTGACTTAAGTCTATCAAAGGCTGATTCCCCTGTAGCTGGAAGGGCTAAAGAATCATCCTTAAAGTGCCTCTCTGTCTTCTTTCTACCCCAGATACAATAGCCTCTGCCTCCCTGAAATTAAGGCTTGCACCACTACCATATAGGATTAAAGAGTCAAGGAAAGAACACTCTGCCCCACACTTGACCCCAAGCCTAGGGCCAAGAAAAAGAATCCCACCAATCCCTGAGCTTGCCCCAAGACCAGGCCACTCTAGAAAGCTTTGCCCCTCCCCCTCCCAAGAAGCCCTGCCTCCTGCTCAGTTCCCTGCTGCTTCTCAATCAAGCAGAGGCAGCCACCCCTCCTACTTTTTGCCTCCCAGTCTCTTGTGTGAGGTTTGTTGTGCAGTGTGACTCTGGTATTCCTTAGGTTCCCTAGCTCCCGGTTGCTCAGAGCTGTAACACACCGGGGAAACCTTACCCCACAGGAGCAGAGCTGTAACACTTCCACTGGGGAAGCCTTTCCCCTCAGAGCTGTAACATTTACACACCCCCTGGCATAAGGAGGGATTAAAAATGAATGAACAAACTAGGGTGTAGCTCAGTGGTAGAGCCCTTACCTAGCACACACAAATCCCTGGTGTTCCATCTCCAGGCTGGCATAAACGTGGAGCTGGGTGGTGATGCAAGCCTGTAATCTCAGCATTCAGGAGGCAGAAGGAGAGGATTAGAAGTTCAAGGCCATCCTTGGCTGCACAGTCAGGTGCAGCCTGAGCTGCAGGAGACCCTGTCTCCAAAATAAAAACCCCTTGAAATGTATAGAGCAGATGGAAAACATTCCAGCATTTTTAGCGTGCTGATCTCAGTCTCTTTATTTCTTTGTATTCTGAGCTCCTAGAAGGCAGGAACCTGGCATTGAACATTTACATTTCCTTTCTGCCTCTGTGACATCAGGGTTCCCGGCTCTAGCTCTTTGTTAAACAAAGAGAATTCCCTGACTGAACATGGATCTTAGCTGCAGAGTGGTTGCCTTGTGTGCATGAGATTCTGGACTCAATCTGGCACCAAACACAAAAGTGAGCAATGTCAGTTAGGTGTGATGTACCAGCACTTTGATTCCAAGTCTTGGAAGCTGAAGGCAAAAAGACCAGAGGGCGGCCTTGGTTCTGGAAGGATTCTCTGGGTTCTTGGCATTGCTTTAAACTGACTCTGAGCTCAGCTTCTCCGGGAAGCTGTCCGCAAACACAGCTTCGCCCATAAAGCCCTGTTTTCTCCTCAAGTCTAGGTATGTTTGCTGTGCTTATGAAGCTCTCCAAGCCCAGCAGGCCTTCTGCTGGTGAAGTGTCCTGTTTAAAGCCCTTGTGTCTGTAAGCCCCTCCAGGAGAGAGTGGCTAGCCCCGCCTCCAGACTTCTCTGGCTGTGTTACAGCTCTGAGAGGAGCGCTGCAGGGGCCAGGGGGCGGGGCTGCCTGCTAGCAGCCTCAAGGAGTCAAGCCTGACCCCCAGGTCTCCAGGGGCAGGGCTTGCAACAGGCATCTTCGAGCAGCAGGAAAGCCAGACCTGCCACCCAAATTGGCATGAATAGCCAACACAGTCCCTGCTGTACAGGGGAAAAAAAAAAAAAAGCCCAGGACGAGGGCACAAATCCCACCGATCCCTGAGTTTGCCCCAAGATCAGGCCACGTAATCCCTCCAATCCAAGGCCACCCTGGAAAGCCCCCACCCCAGAAACCCTATATAAAGCCTGCCTCCTGCTCAGTTCTTTGATGTTTCTCCCCCAAGTAGAGGCAGCCACCCTCTTGTGTCTCTGCCAATAAATCTCTTGTATGAGGTTTGTTGTGTTGTGTGACTTTGTGATATTCCTTGGTGTAAATGGAAGTTTCTGTCCCACCAGCAACTCCCAAATACCCATCAGCCACTTCTCAAATTACCACTTAGAGGCTTATATTAATTATAAATGTTTGGCCAATGGCTCAGGCTTGTTACTAGCTAGTTCTTACACTTAAATTAACCCATAATTCTTATCTATGCTTTGACATATGTTTCGTGGCTTGTTACCTCATTTTTCTATATGTCTTGCTTCCTCAGTGGCTGGCTGGCATCTGCTCAACTCTGCCTTTCTTCATCTCCATCTTCAGTTTGATTGTACAGCCTAACCTTATTCTGCCTCACCATTGACCAAACAGCTTTATTATCAACCAATGAGAGCAACACATATTCACAGCGTACAGAAGGACATCCCACAGCACCCTGGCTTCTGACTGTCAGGATGACCTTCCCTTCAGAACTGTAACACTCACAGTGTTGCTATCAGGGCACTTTGGCTAGATGGGGCTATGGCACGTGGAACTTCACAATACACAGCATTGGAACAGCCTCTAGGGTGTCTCTACTTTCTCAAGCCTCTGTTAGACTTGGGGAGGCTCAAAAGCTGGCCATTGTCCTTGACTCACAAGACTCGGAAGCCCTCCTGGAGACTATTCAGCCACAGTGGTGACTTAAGGGATGGAGCAGGACAAGGTTGAGAGTGAAGGAACTCAGCTTGCGGACCAAGGGCTGCTGAGGGATCATTTACAGAGGTAAACAATTAGCTTCGGTTTGAAGTCCCACTGATAGCTGGGAAGGGACAATGTTTAAAGAAATTGAGACTACAGCTGGACCCCTCCTGAACTTGGCCATGGGGGAAAATCAATTCCTAAGGAGGCAGGGACAGCCTCATCTCTAGAGATGTCACCCTGCTCCCCAAAGGATCCGTAGAAAGAGGCAGGAGATGGGCTGGGGAGATGGTTCAGTGATTAACATGCTCACTACATAAGCATGATGACGAGAATTGAGACCCTCAGAACCCATGTAAATGTTGCAGAGGAATGGTATCGTACTGGGAATTACAGTGTTCTGTGGAGACAGGATCCTCAGAGCCCAATGAAGCTAGACTAGTCTTCATCTGTGAGCTCTAGATTTAGTTGAGAATTCAGGGGCTGCTGATTTGGCTCAGCAGTTAAGAGTACTTGTTACTCTTGCAAAGGCCCTGAGTTCAATTCCCCAGCACTACATGGCAGCCCATAATTATCTTTAGCATCCCAGTGGTGGCGTACACCGTTAATCCCAACACTCGGGAGGCAGAGCCAGGCAGATCTCTGAGTTCGAGGCCAGCCTGGTCTACAAAGCAAGTTCCAGGACAGGCTCCAAAGATACACAAAGAAACCCTGTCTCAAAGAAAAAAGAGAGAATTCAGAGTTCAACTGAGAGACTCTGCCTCAATATATACAGTGGACATAGAGTCTCAGGGCTGGGTATGATTGTCAGGACACGCCTTTAATCCCAACACTCAGGAGGCACAGACAGGTGGATCTCTGTGAGTTTGAGGACAACCAGGGCTGTGTAGTGAGACTCAGTGTCTTTTTTTTTTTTTTTTTTAATGTGAATTGGTGATTTGCCTGAATCTATATCTGTGTGCAGGTCCCGGATCCCCTGGAGCTGGAGTTACAGTTGTGAACTGCCATGTGGGTTCTGGGAATTGAACCTGGGTCCTCTGGAAGAGCAGCCAGTGCTCTTAACCTTTCAGGCATCTCTCCAGCTCCAAGACTCTGTCTTGAAGAAGCAGAAGTGGAAGAAGATGCAGAAGAAGAAGGAGGAGGAGGGAGAGAGGAGGAGGAGGGAGGGAGGAGAAAGGAAGGGAGGAAGATGAGGGGAGGAGGAGGGAGAAGAGAGGGGGAGGAGGGAGGAGGAGGGAGAGAGGAGGAGGAATGGGGGAGGGAGAGAAAGAAAGAAAGAAAGAAAGAGAGAGAGAGAGAAGGAAGGAAGGAAAGGAAAGAAAGACAGACAGACAGACTCAAGGGATGGAGAGATGGGCTTCCAGAAGCCTGTGTTGAGTACCCACACCCATATTAGGTGGCTCACAACCATCTATAACTCCAGCTCCACCTCTAGTCTCCATGGGCTCCTACACACACACACACACACACACACACACACACACACACACACACACACACACACACACACAGGATTGAAAACAAATCCTTCTCCACTGTGGGAACCTCATCCTCGGCCCATGTGAGGGCTCTCTTTGGGGAACAAGGGAAGATCAACGGAAACCAAACCTCTTTAGTACCTGGCTCCCGGCGGATGCTGAGTTACTACCTGTCAAATGAATAATGACCTTTAATTAGTAGCGCGGAGGTTTGCAATTACCGTCTTTTGCTGCTAGCATTGGATGTGATCCTGATGCCCGGGAATCCTGGCTCTGCACCCTTCCTTCAAGTCTGCACAAGACCAGCAGATGAGCACTGCCTCCTTGGCTCCCGGACTCCGCCTTGCCCTCTCAGAGAAGCTGTGCCAGGGTAAGGGAGCGGAGAGGACCCTTGTCCAGTGAGTGACTGACAGCACAGTAGATTGTGTCCCCACAACCCCTCCCCAGTCCCCAGGCCCACCAGGCAGTTTCCAGGTTCCCACTCTTCCTCCAGAGAGCCCTCCCAGATCTCTGCTTCCTCTTTATCTGGCACACCATCTCCCCCAGGCACACAGATGAAAAGCTTTGCAATGTGTTTGTCATCTAAGCTCTTCTGTATTGTGCCTGATTACACACACCGGGGCACATGCTCACCTTCCTACCCTGCTGATGGGAGAGACACAGTCCTTTTCCTCCCAGAACCTCAGGCTGTGAGGGAGGCAGAGCCCAGTCCCAGAAAGCCCCATTTACAGGAAGAGGCCGACCACATACAGGAAAAAAAAAGTTCCACAACTTGAGTAAGGAAACAAAGTGGGCAGTCCTGAGCTGCAGGCCCAGCCGGCCTCCTCGAAGCTAGGGTTTGTGTCCCCGCTGCAGGCGGCAGGAGTGTCCAGCGTCGCCATCTTGACGTGGCTCAGCAAAGAACCTCAGAGGGTTGGATAAGACCAAAGCTTGTGTCTCTCATTACGATGTCCAAATTCGGTGGGTGGGACGTAGGGACCCGCGTGGGGGTGGCGGCAGTGGGTGCTGGCCAGCCAGCACACAGAGGCGGCTGCAGGTCAGAAGCACGTCGGACAGAAGCAGCTTGAAGAGAAGCAGTCGCAGCGCACTCAGCCGCAGGAACTGACCCAGTGTCCCTGCAGAAGAAAGAGTGGAGGAGTCCCCAGGAGCCCAGACTGCCCAAGGGACAAGGAGGGAGGGCCGTTCTCCATCTGTCTCCTCCTCCAGGGAAATTCCTTCCCGGTGTCTGACCTTAGTCTCTACTGGTGATAACATGTGCCTCCTACTAATCCCTGATTTTACTTTATTTGGCGAGGGAGGCAGGCATTCAGGAAGGAGCGTCTAATGTAAAGAGTAAATCGCTCAGGATAGCTGGGCAAGAAACAGGTGTTGTGATTACTAGCCCAGTGCCCTCCTCACCACCTCAGGGAGTTCAATAATGCACAGGCTCTCATCCTGAGCCCACCAGCCACCCCCTACCCAAGGAGTCATCAGGCCCCACATGTTGGCGCTCGTCTGTGCTGCTCCACAGGGTCCAGGAATTAGGATGGTATCTGAAAACCCCACCGTATCCCAGGGAAGCCCAGGCTAGCCCTTAGCAAAGCAATCCATCCCTTAACTAGAAACTCCTCAGTCAGCCAACTGCAACCTCAGGAGACCCAAGGTCAAATTAGAGCTGAATGCCACCTGCCAGGTACCAGGACTCAGACACTTGTTCCCAACCGCCGTCCTACCCCACCACCTGACTCACCCCTAAGAGGTTCGTGAGAGCAGGTCCTGGCTGTGGAAGCTTCTCCTGTGAGCCAAGAAGAAGGAAGTGAGTACCATGGGATGGGTGGGCACCTCACAGTCCAGGCCTATGCCTGGCCCTAGGCAACTTGCAGGGCATAGGGACATAAGCGGAAACTCTGTGCCCACTTGTTGGCAAGTCCTGAGAAGCCATCACTGCTCCCCTCCCTGCCTGACAGTTCTGTCCCCTAAGAGGCACCTCAGTCCCTTCCCACAGGGAGCCCATTCTCTTACAGCTCTTGCTGGAAGGCAGGGCATTTTTTCAGGAAGCTACCCTCTTTGGGAGGTAATAAAACTGAGGTGACCCAAATGACTCCATCATGACAGTGCTGGTAACACAAACACAGGACCTGAGTTCCATCCCCATGTTAAAAAAGAAAGAAAAACAGAAACAGGGCACGGTGGCCCATATTTATAGGCCAGCGCTGGGGAGGTGGGGACAGGCAGACTCTTGGGGCTCACCGACTAGCCAGCCTAGTCTGCTTGGCTTAGGAGGTGGTTTAGTTGGTAAATGCTTTCTTGAGTTGGAACCCAGCACCCTCATTAAAAAGCCCGGCAGTGGTGGTGCATACCTTCAATCCCAGCACTAGGGAGGCAGAGGCAGGGGGATCTCTGTGAGTTTGAGGCCAGCCTGGTCTATAAAGTGAGTTCCAGGACAGCCAGAGCTGTTACACAGAGAAACCCTGTTTTAAAAATCAAACAAACCAAAACTAAACAAGAAAGTGAGTATTGCTTTCTCAGAAGACCAGGGTTCGGTTCCCAGTCTCCTTGTTTGTCAGGAGGCTGGTAAGTGCCTGTAACTCCAGCTCCTGGGGGGTGGGGACATGGGGGAGGGTGGGGAGGGTGGGGAAGGGGGGAGGGGTGGATGGTGATGATGATCCAATGTGTCTAGTCGAGTCAAGCACCTGGACTCACACACCTCACACACACACACACACACACACACACACACACACACACACACACACACTTCAAAATAATAATCTTTCCAAAATTTAAAATGAAGCAGCACTTAGGACAGTGCTTGGCATAGAATAAACTTGGTAAAAAGTGATGAGTTTATTTTTATTTATTTATTTATTTTAAAAACACGGTTTCTCAGCCGGGCGGTGGTGGCGCACGCCTTTAATCCCAGCACTCGGGAGGCAGAGCCAGGCGGATCTCTGTGAGTTCGAGGCCAGCCTGGACTACCAAGTGAGTTCCAGGAAAGGCGCAAAGCTGCACAGAGAAACCCTGTCTCGAAAAACCAAAAAAAAAAAAAAAAAAAAAAAAACACGGTTTCTCTGTGTAGCCCTGGCTTTCCTGGAACTCACTCTGTAGACC